GGCCACTAGTCTTTCTGGGGTCCTCACATGAAGAAATTACATTACATTATGAACAAAACATTAAAAAACACATTAGGATATAATAGGAACATGGAAAAGAGTAGAAATATACAACATATATACACAGGTCAGTTCATCATATCATCTGCAGTAGTTCTGAAGACAGTATATTATTTAAGCTTGTTCTGTTCTGAACTGTTTGTGTATTACAAGTATAAGCTAAATTCTGAGTATTATAAGTATTAGCTAAATTCAGAGCATTATAAGTATTAGCTAAATTCTGGGTCTAAATGTGGAGCTGCAAACCTGTATGACAACACATGTCTATCCTCACCAGAATCAGGAAGTCCCTAAAGGGTGTGAGTGTGAGGTATGGCCTGAAAAACCTCTCGGGGAGTTCCTGGAAGACTACAGGACTTTGCTCCAGCAGGAGAAGGCCCTGGCCTCATAGCGGTTCCCAACAGGAAAGCCATCTTATCACATCACCAGCTAGTTTTTTGTTTTGTTTTTAAAAAAACTCGTCCTCATGTTTTATGGATTTCACTGCATGTTATCTCATTCTAATGATGCTATGACTTTGAACACTGATTTTATGGAGACAAGGCAACGATAATGAATGTATTTTAAATCACATATTACTGTATCTGTACACAATATTTATTTGGACGTAATGTTCCTCCATGAGATTTCCACAAAGTTCTCAATTTGTTCATGACAATGGGGATATATTTGAAGTGTAATTCTGTAACAATCTTTTCTATTTAAGTAACTTATTATGTTTAGTAATTATTATTTATGTTAATTTATTTTGGATGTTGGTGCTCTGATATAAAGGTGCAAACTAATAAATGTTATCTTACAATCTTTGTATTGACGTTTACTGTGATGTTGAAGTGGAAAGCTTAAAAAAACAAAAAAAACAAGTTAGGTGTTTAATGTTTCGGATTGTTTCAGGTTGCATTTTGGCTGTTAAAAATATGTCTTTTAGAAAAACATTTCTCATAACAGGAGCTATTAGCGTGGGGGAGAGGCGCGTGGGACCCTTCATTTCCTCAGTTCAGGGCGATTGCTCAACCAATCTGTCTACCAGAGTGTGGAAAATCAAGTCATTAAGCAATTTCAAGTAATTTTAACGTTATTCGGTACTTTTCCATTGTACTTAGCAGTTTCTGCCTATATAACCGTTTGCCTGTTTTGGAAAGATGAGACACTTTGTTTGTTTTACAAGACAGAAATGTACCTTTTTTTTTTAGCTCTTAACATTTCAGCTACAAGTCAAAACATCTTTTTTTTTAGCACACAAAATGCTTAAACTATCAGCATTAAGAATATGGCCTAACAGCTTTGATTAAAATTAGTTTGATAATGAGGCAAAAAATGTGAAGACCACAAGAGTCTGTAACCACAGAAGCTAGTTTACATTCATCATATTTCTAAAAGAGTTTGTGTTCTCTAATATTTTCTGATGAGTATGCAAGCTTTTTTCTATTCTTATGTCCTTTAATGTTTTGTTTTTTTATGAGATTTCGTTTGGGATGCAAAAGCGTCCGGCTTGGCTAAACAAAATTGGTCAAAAGACACCTCGCCGGTGACAGTGTAGTTTTAAAATCCCCTCATATTCATGAGAATAGAGGCCATTGAATACTTCAGAGTAGCAACACAGCTGCTTCTACAACTTGAGCTCTCCTTGTGAAACCACATCAAAAGAGTTGCATATCCTGTTTATCTCTAAACCTACTACCATCATCTCAGAGATGAAGTGAAAAAAGAAAAACCCTACTTTTTTTAAAGTTCCAATAAGCTGCATTGTATTAGCTCACCTGTATTTATGGATGGAGCTAGTAAAATGTCATCGTAAACAGAATTTATGATCCCGCAGGCCTTATTCTGCTATGTAAAGTTGGAACATTACAACAAAAAGATTAAGATGAAACCCAAACCCTGGTGTATTTTATAAAACACAATGGAAAAATCTACTGTTGACAGCAGACTGCACAGGATGCAAAGACACCTTTACATTTTCATGGACCATAGCATTAACTTAGCCACTTAATTTAATATAAAACAAATATAATCTGTGTTTGAAAATGAGTTTTTAAGTAGTCACTAAAAATATGATTACTACATAGAGGCACAGGTTTTAGTACATTCAAATTTAATGCCATTTTTAATAAAATCCCTTAGTGAAACAGAAACTAACCTGCACCTTTAAGTGTACAGAAATGCTTGGCTGGAGCAGGAAGGACAGACAGATGCTAGTAAAGCTTCACTTTACGTGGCCTATAAAACACATTCAGTCAGCCTTACTTTGTCCACGGTTTGAATATTTCCCCGTGCAATAAATGTCAAATGAGACTGGAAAACACATCCAATCTCAAACCACATCTCTGACTATCTGCACGAGACACAGATCCTCACAAATAAAATGCACTCAATAATTTCAATGCAAAGTCAACCTGACAAAATATTACATCAAATCTGAATACATCCAGATTTGCTGGTGCGTTTAACTATGCTTTAAGCCCACAAAATCCAAGAAGAAAGGCAAGTAAAAGAGAATAAAACCTGGTGTTATACATACAGGTTAAAGGCTTGATCCCTCGATACAAATTCACTGCATGCAAAAGTTAATTCCTCCTCTTAAAGTCATGAAAGTCAACATGTACACAAGGCCATTCACCAGGCAGCAGCTTAATGACTTAAGAGTAAATGATGCGCTGCATTGCAAATGCAGGAAACCAAAGCATTTCCTGGATGTGTATATCAAAGGCATCGAGCCAACCCGTTTATTGACATGTTGGTGGGGGTTGGGGGCAGCCAAACACATTTTTTTTAGGCCAAATTTAAAGTTAAAAGATGTCAGCTTGTGATTTCAAACTGGCTAAAGTCTCATTTCCCCATTTTTTCATTAACCAATAAGGCCCTTTAAAAGCAACATGTAAAAGAACCACCGCCTCCTCAGAAAGGCAGCTTTAGCAGCTTATTCTGAGCAGCTTTGAATGTTAGATCAACAGTTTTTGAGTCGCCAAACCAACCAACCAAGCGTTCCTTTAGAAGCTAATCCAAGTCCCTGTCGCTCCCGGTCTGAGGCTATTCCCATTTTAGACACTGTGCTTCCTCTGAGACGCTGAAAAACTAAAGCTATACAGTTAGCTGTACATGCTTTATTTGAGTTTCGATGGAAAAAAAAAAAATAGGTGCAGGTAAACAGTAGCTGATGAAGTGAACTTCTTCATTTAAGGCGTTAATTCAGCTAAAATTGTGTGCCCATATTTCAGAAATTTGTCCACTGATTAATATTCAGTTTTATGTCTTCCCAACAGAATAATTAAATAGAGTACAAAACAGCAAACGTACACGAAAAAATGCAAAAAATGCTAAATAAAATCAAGGTTTTACTGTCTGGACGTGAGTTCTTACTGTACTTCTCTGCCTGGTAGTTACAGTTTGGGAGGTGGAGGGTTTGTGGTCCCACCTGGCCTGTGTGCCTGGTTCTCCTTGTAGAAATGATAAGGAAAGATATTTAATAAATAATATTTTTGATGAAAGTGTATTTCAGTTGAACGACTCAAAGTGCTCCATGAAAAAATTACAATGATAAATTAAAAACAAAAAAACTAACCTTGAGTTGGTTTCTTTTCCTTTTCAGTAAATCTGAATTTGTGCACTTGATTCTCTGAGAATCTTTTTAAAATGCATTGTCAATAATTTGATTAATGTGTTAGAATTTTAAAAAATGAGCGTCTTGGCAAATTAATTTAATTAATTTTTGTTTTATTATTTTGTTCAGATCTTTCACCGTACAGTGTCAGTCATTTTATCAAACTGCTGAAATGGAAGAATAAGAATTCAAAACACAAAATAGGCAAAACAAACTGGAAATGGTTATCATACATACATATAACATTAAGAGCATGAAGTAAAAAAGCTGGGGATTCGAAAACAGGACACTCCTTATAATCATATCCAAACTATAACTATAACACTAACAAACTATAGCTAGTTTAGATTTATAGATCAAGCTGTCATCGCAGATAATTCCCAAATATTTTACTCTAAAAATAAAGTACTTTTG